TTTATATTTTAATATAACCACTCATGGGGAAAATGACAATTTCGACCCTAATATTGTGTAAATGTCAAAATGACATCGAGGGTGTTTTCGTCCTTTAATTGACTGACGGCTGGGACAGCAATAAATGTGTCTGACACTGCAGTGACTCAACTGCCAGATTTGTATGTTGAAAATCGTGATAATGTGCAAAAATAAAAATTGATGGGGGCCAAACAGGGGCTTAGCTGTCTTAGATGTTCGGTAAATTTTGAGAAGAAACAAAAATATAGCTTCTTAAATCTTTAAATCTTAAAATATCAATTTTTAACACTAACCATTTGAGTTAAACGTTCAGTGAGCTTTTGTTTCGAAATTGTTGCGTATTTAAAAATCAGTTTTCGAGTTACAGTAATATATTGATATTTTATAATTACTATAATGGAAGTGGCAAAAGATAAAAATAAAAATGAAAATATGAAATCTACATTTGATCCATTATCTGATTCATATACTCACAATCAAAGGTAATGAATGTGGATCATGTTGTCTATAGAATATGAAATCTACATTTGATATAATATTTTTGCTGAAAATTTTGACAGTCTCTTTCTTCAATACTCGTTTAAAACTCCAGTCTCCGTCAAGTAATAAATAATATGAATAATCCTCTCTTTTGGGCTCCAACGTACCAAAGATCATATCTCCTTGTTTGCTAATTCCTCAATAACATGGAGGTGGAGAAATTTTCTCATAAAGGCCAATGTCCATTCCATTGTAAGCAATAGGAGCATACATCCACATATCATCAGAGCTTAATAACTGCAAAGAATAAGTACATATTTAGTAGAAGTACCTGAGATTTGAATAGGAAAAAAATTATTAAAAATCCTTCAGTAGATAATGGACGATACAATTTAAGAAAAATGGGCTAATCTCTCCGTTATATGTCAAATATTGCGTACCTAACATCAACTAAAATTGTTGGGTGACATAGAGGAAGAAAATTAGTGATAAATTTTTTCCCCTACCTTAATTTGAAGCTGTAAAAACTTGACATAATGGACGGCCTCTTCGAGCATTGTGCTAATGTCAACCTGAGAGTTCAGTGAACATGTAAACTCAGTTTTGTGGAATTTTAAAATATGCCTTGGTTCCAGCATTTGGTAGAGTTGATTAGCACTAGTTAATGCTTTACCTTTGTTCCGT